TTATTTAGAACGTGTACTTTATTTAGAACGTGTACTTTATTTAGAACGTGTACTTTATTTAGAACGTGTACTTTACTTAGAACGTGTACTTTATTTAGAACGTGTACTTTATTTAGAACGTGTACTTTACTTAGAACGTGTACTTTATTTAGAACGTGTACTTTACTTAGAACGTGTACTTTATTTAGAACGTGTACTTTATTTAGAACGTGTACTTTATTTAGAACGTGTACTTTATTTAGAACGTGTACTTTACTTAGAACGTGTACTTTATTTAGAACGTGTACTTTATTTAGAACGTGTACTTTATTTAGAACGTGTACTTTATTTAGAACGTGTACTTTATTTAGAACGTGTACTTTACTTAGAACGTGTACTTTGTAGAACTTTGTTGTGTCTTTATTTTTCCTGTTTTGTTTCAGACGAACGAGATCGTGCGGAGCATGAAGTTGGACGGAGAAGTGAGTTCTGTGGCCTTTTCCTCCGACGGGGACAAAGTTTTCTCCAGCTCAGGTCGGTGCTTCTGGACAAACGACTCAACTGGAGCTTGAAATAAAACTTTTAATGATCAGAAAACCAAAAGAACCTGACTGGACTCTGTGTTTCTGTGTTTCTGTGTTTTTCTTTAACATCCTTCCGTTTTTCTTTCTCTGTGTGTTGTTCTTCAGAGGAGGGCGAGGTTTTCTTGTGGGACCTCAGATCTTCTCGATGTTTGAACAGATTCACAGACGACGGTTGTGTCAAGTCCACGTCCATCTGCACGTCTCCCAACGGACGCTACCTGGCCTGTGGGTGAGTCTGACCCCTGACCCCTGACCTCTGACCCCCCGACCTAATCTGGACCTTCAGGTTCTTTCACAGCGACAGCAGGTGGTCCTCCAATCATTTCATTGGATCCAGAAGCTCTTAATTGGGTTCAATCAATCAATCAATCAAACTTTATTTGTACAGCACAGTGGCTGAGTGTTTAGCACTCATGCCTCACAGCAAGAAGGTTCTGGGTTCAGTCCCCGGTCGCCTGGGCCTTTCTGTGTGGAGTTTGCATGTTTCTCCCCGTGTCTGGGTGAGTTTCCTCCGGGTGCTGCAGTTTCTCCCATCAACCCAAAACCTGCTCCATTTCTCCATGAAGAAGAGTTAATAATCAAGATCAGTTAAAAACAATCAATCCATGAACCTGCCCAGGGACGACAGGCGGAAATGAACACTGATGTTACAACCTGATGTACAAACATCTCACCTGTTCAGGTAAAAATGCAAAGATTGTGCACCGTCCCTGTCTCAAATAAATAAATAAATAAATAAATAAATATAGCACTTTTCATACATTTGAAATGTAGCACAAAGTTCTTCACAAGCAACAGAAAAAATGACAAAAAGATACAATAATTAAAAACAACAACCCCCCAGTGTTTCATCCATATATACAACCATTTAAACAAACATATATACAACCATTTAAACAAACATATATACAACCATTTAAACAAACATATATACAACCATTTAAACAAACATATATACAACCATTTAAACAAACATATATACAACCATTTAAACAAACATATATACAACCATTTAAACAAACATATATACAACCATTTAAACAAACATATATACAACCATTTAAACAAACATATATACAACCATTTTAAACAAACATATATACAACCATTTAAACAAACATATATACAACCATTTAAACAAACATATATACAACCATTTAACAAACATATATACAACATTTAAACAACATATATACAACCATTTAAACAAACATATATACAACCATTTAAACAAACATATATAACAACCATTTAAACAAACATATATACAATATACAACCATTTAAACAAACATATATACAACCATTTAAAACAAACATATATACAACCATTTACATACAAATACATTTAAACAACATATATACAACCAACACATTTAAAAACATAATACAACATTTATATATACAACCATTTAAACAAACATATATACAACCATTTAAACAAACATATATACAACCATTTAAACAAACATATATACAACCATTTAAACAAACATATATACAACCATTTAAACAAAACATATATACAACCATTTAAACAAACATATATACAACCATTTAAACAAACATATAACAACCATAAACAAACATATACAACCATTTAAACAAACATATATACAACCATTTAAACAAACACATATACAACCATTTTAAACAAACATATATAAACCATTTAAACAAAACAAACATATATACAACCATTTAAACAAACATATATACAACCATTTAAACAAACACATATACACCATTTAAACAAACATATATACAACATTTAAACAAACATATTACAACCATTTAAACAAACATATAACAACAACATTTAAACAAACATATATACAACCATTTAAACAAACATATATACAACCAAAACAAACATATTAAACAAACACATATACAACCATTAAACAAACATATATACAACCATTTAAACAAACATATATACAACCATTTAAACAACATATATACAACCATTTAAACACATATATACAACCATTAAACAAACATATATACAACCATTTAAACAAACATATATACAACCATTTATACAACCATTTAAACAAACATATATACAACCATTTAAACAAACATATATACAACCATTTAAACAAACATAATATACAACCATTTAAACAAACATATACAAACTTTAAACAACATATATACAACCATTTAAACAAACATATATACAACCATTTAAACAACATATATACAACATTTAAACAAACACATATACAACCATTTAAACAAACATATATACAACCATTTAAACAAACATATATACAACCATTTAAACAAACTATATACAACCATTTAAACAAACATATATACAACCATTTAAACAAACTTATATACAACCATTTACAACAATATATACAACCATTTAAACAAACATATATACAACAACACACATTTAAACAAAACATATATACAACCATTTAAACAAACATATATACAACCATTTAAACAAACATATATACAACCATTTTAAACAAACATATATACAACCATTTAAACAACATATATACAACATACAAACATATATACAACAAAACAACATTTAAACACATATATACAACCATTTAAACAAACATATATACAACCATTTAAAACAAAACATATATACAACCATTTAAAACAAACATATATACAACCATTTAAACAACATATATACAACCATTTAAACAAACATATATACAACCATTTAAACAAACATATATACAACCATTTAAACAAACATATATACAACCATTTAAACAAACATATATACAACCATTTAAACAAAACATATATAACACCATTTAAACAAACATATATACAACCATTTAAACAAACATATACAACCATTTAAACAAACATATATACAACCATTTAAACAAACATATATACAACCATTTAAACAAACATATATACAACCATTTAAACAAACATATATACAACCATTTAAACAAACATATATACAACCATTTAAACAGAAACAGAAAGGTTATACTTCAAAAAATCCAAATCAAAATGGAGACAAATTAAAACAGTAATGATAATTAAATTTAGAATAAATATAATAATAGTAATAATAATTTAAGTTAAAACAGGTAAAAGTTTCAATTAAAAGCTAAATAAAAAAATATGTTTTGAGTTTACTTTTAAAAATCTGAACAGTCACAGACGACCTCAGGTCCTCAGGTCGACTGTTCCACAGACGGGGACAGTAAAACTGGAAGACGCCTCAGCGTGAGTTTGAGTTTGACTCTTGGGACAGTTAAAGACGAGGCTCATGTGATAAAAGCAGATCAGATAAATAAATAGGACTAAAACCATTAAGAGCTTTATAACCTAATAAAAGAACTTTAAAATCTCTCCTGAAGCTCACAGGGTTCGTCTCCGTCTCGGTCGGTCTCGGTCCGTCTCGGTTGTTGTGGAAGCTTCAGTCACACTTGGATCTTCACTAAATCAAACGGACCAAGACCTCAGAAAAGATCTGGTCTTGATCCACTCGACTCGGCACCAAACACCAAATGTGGTTCTTCTGGTGAGACGTCGACTTAGGTCCAAACAACTTTTCCAAATACATCATAGGAGGAAAGACGGACTCGGACTCTCAAATTGAGCTCCCAGTCTGGTCCTGGTCCTGGTCTAACCCCGGTCTCTGTCCTCAGGTCTCAGTCTGGTCCTGGTCTAACCCCGGTCTCTGTCCTCAGGTCTCAGTCTGGTCCTGGTCCTGGTCTAACCCCGGTCTCTGTCCTCAGGTCTCAGTCTGGTCCTGGTCCTGGTCTAACCCCGGTCTCTGTCCTCAGGTCTCAGTCTGGTCCTGGTCTAACCCCGGTCTCTGTCCTCAGGTCTCAGTCTGGTCCTGGTCCTGGTCCTGGTCTAACCCCGGTCTCTGTCCTCAGGTCTCAGTCTGGTCCTGGTCCTGGTCTAACCCCGGTCTCTGTCCTCAGGTCTCAGTCCGGGGTGGTGAACATTTACTCCGTGGACTCGTGCGTCTCGTCGTCTCGTCCTAAACCCCTGAAGTCCGTCATGAACCTGGTGACTCCAGCCACGTCTCTGCTCTTCAACCCGACGTCGGAGCTGCTGGCGCTGGGCTCCAGAGCCGAGGACGAGGCCCTGCGGCTGGTGAGTGACGGGGCTGTGGTGAGTGACGGGGCTGTGGTGAGTGACGGGGCTGTGGTGAGTGACGGGGCTGTGGTGAGTGTGACGGGGCTGTGGTGAGTGGGACGGGGCTGTGGTGAGTGACGGGGCTGTGGAGGTGGGACGGGGCTGTGGTGGTGAGGGACGGGGCTGTGGTGGTGTGACGGGGCTGTGGTGAGTGTGACGGGGCTGTGGTGGTGCGACGGGGCTGTGGTGGTGCGACGGGGCTGTGGTGGTGCGACGGGGCTGTGGTGAGTGTGACGGGGCTGTGGTGAGTGTGACGGGGCTGTGGTGGTGAGTGACGGGGCTGTGGTGGTGTGACGGGGCTGTGGTGAGTGACGGGGCTGTGGTGGTGAGTGACGGGGCTGTGGTGAGTGACGGGGCTGTGGTGGTGTGTGACGGGGCTGTGGTGGTGAGTGACGGGGCTGTGGTGGTGAGTGACGGGGCTGTGGTGAGTGACGGGGCTGTGGTGGTGCGACGGGGCTGTGGTGAGTGTGACGGGGCTGTGGTGAGTGTGACGGGGCTGTGGTGTGAGTGACGGGGCTGTGGTGGTGTGACGGGGCTGTGGTGAGGGACGGGGCTGTGGTGGTGAGGGACGGGGCTGTGGTGGTGTGACGGGGCTGTGGTGGTGTGACGGGGCTGTGGTGAGGGACGGGGCTGTGGTGGTGACGGGGCTGTGGTGGTGAGTGACGGGGCTGTGGTGGTGTGACGGGGCTGGTGAGTGTGACGAGGCTGTGGTGAGTGTGACGGGCTGTGGTGGTGTGACGGGGCTGTGGTGGTGTGAGGGGCTGTGGTGGTGAGTGACGGGCTGTGGTGGTGAGTGACGGGGCTGTGGTGTGTGACGGGGCTGTGGTGAGTGGGACGGGGCTGTGGTGAGGGACGGGGCTGTGGTGAGTGTGACGGGGCTGTGGTGAGTGTGACGGGGCTGTGGTGAGTGTGACGGGGCTGTGGTGAGTGTGACGGGGCTGTGGTGAGGGGCTGTGGTGAGGGACGGGGCTGTGGTGAGTGACGGGGCTGTGGTGAGTGACGGGGCTGTGGTGAGTGTGACGGGGCTGTGGTGAGTGTGACGGGGCTGTGGTGAGTGGGACGGGGCTGTGGTGGTGGGACGGGGCTGTGGTGAGGGACGGGGCTGTGGTGAGTGACGGGGCTGTGGTGAGTGTGACGGGGCTGTGGTGAGTGTGACGGGGCTGTGGTGAGTGTGACGGGGCTGTGGTGAGTGACGGGGTGGGGCGGGCTGTGGTGAGGGACGGGGCTGTGGTGAGTGTGACGGGGCTGTGGTGAGTGCGACGGGGCTGTGGTGTGTGACGGGGCTGTGGTGAGTGACGCTAACTGGAGGCACTGCTCTGTCTGAGACTCTGTTGGACCTGAGCGCTGATGAAAACTTTAAAACTCTGTAAATCACTTTAGTTTTTTGTCTTAAGTTTTCAGACGATCTTAAAACTTGTTTGTTCACGTGTGTGTGTTTTGTGTGTTTGTGTGTGTGTGTGTGTGTGTGTTGTGTGTGTGTGCATCGTGTCTCCATGGTAACCGCTGAACATTCCATCATAGACATACATACGTACATGTAGAACTCCCCCAGCGCGACGTCACTGCAGAGTTTCAGTTCTGACTTGTCTCCAGGTCTCGTTAAACCAGACTCAGGTCTAATGTTCTGATGTTTTCTCCTCCTCCTCTTCCTCCTCTTCTTCCTCTTCCTCCTCCTCTTCCTCCTCCTCTTCCTCCTCTTCCTCTTCTCCTCCTTTTCCTCCTCTTCCTCCTCCTCCTCCTCCTCCTTCCTCTCTTCCTCCTCTTCCTCTCTTCTTTCCTCCTCCTCTCTTCCTCCTCCTCTTCCTCCTCTTCCTCCTCCTCCTTCTCTTCCTCCTCCTCTTCCTCCTCCTCTTCCTCCTCCTCTCCTCTCCTCTTCTCTTCCTCCTCCTTTTCCTCCTCTCCTCCTCCTCTTCCTCTCCTCCTCTTCCTCTCTCCTCCTTCCTTCCTCCTCCTCTCTCTCTCCTCCTCTTCCTCCTCCTCTTCCTCCTCTCTCTTTTCCTCCTCCTTCCTCCTCCTCTTCCTCCTCCTCCTCTTCCTCTTCCTCCTCTTCTTCCTCCTCCTTCTCTTCCTCCTCCTCTTCCTCCTCTTCCTCCTCTTCCTCCTCCTCCTCTTCCTCAGCTGCACGTGCCCAGTCTCACCGTCTTCTCAAACTTCCCGGTCTCCAAGAGGAAGATCTGCAACAGGGTCCAGGACGTGGGCTTCTCCCCCCACAGCGGCTTCTTCTGCCTCGTCAACAACAGAGGCCGCGCCCCCCTGTACAGGTGAGCCCCGCCCACAGGTGAGCTCCTCCCACAGGTGAGACCCGCCCACAGGTGAGCTCCTCCCACAGGTGAGACCCGCCCACAGGTGAGCTCCTCCCACAGGTGAGACCCGCCCGCAGGTGAGTCCCGCCCGCAGTGAGTCCGCCCGCAGGTGAGTCCCCCCCACAGGTGAGTCCCCCCCACAGGTGAGTCCCCCTGTACAGGTGAGTCCCTCCTGTACAGGTGAGCTCCTCCCACAGGTGAGTCCCCCCCACAGGTGAGTCCCCCCTGTACAGGTGAGTCCCCCTGTACAGGTGAGTCCCTCGTACAGGTGAGCCCCTCGTACAGGTGAGCCCCTCGTACAGGTGAGGTACAGGTGAGCCCCTCGTGGTGCAGGTGGAGTCTGAGGGTTTGATTCCTGATGTTTAATCTTGTTTTTCCGTTTGTTTTCAGGCTGCTGCATTATAAAGACTTTTAAGGGTCCTGATGAATCTGATGAACCGGTCTGGACCGGGACTTGGATCTGAACGGGTCTGGACCGGGACTTGGGACTTGGGACTTGGATCTGAACGGGTCTGGACCTGAGACCAGAGCGTGGTCCTGGTGTTTGGACCCTCCGCCTCCAGTGACTCTGTTTTACTTTTATTATTTGTATAAAATTCTGTTTTATAAAAATGTGTAAAACTTCAGTTGTTTGTGATGTTTCTGTTCGTGTCCTCCAGGGTCACGACCCCCCCCCAGTGAACAGGTTCAAAGGTCAAACTATGACCTCACCTCTTTGTCAAAGCCTGGTCCTGGTCCTGGTCCTGGTCCCGGTCTTGGTCTTGGTCTTGGTCTTGGTCCGGTCCTGGTCCGGTCCTGGTCCTGGTCTGTGCTCTGAGCCTGAGTCTGTGCAGAGGAAACAGTTTCAGGGTGCGAGTGTCAGAGGTCGAAGGTTTGAGCTGCACAGAGACTCTGAGGATAAAATACATTTAGTTATTTAATATCATTTTCTTTTCCTCCTTAATTCCACTTTCTGATTCACATTTGAGATTTGTGTTTGTATGAAATGTAAAAATGAGTAAAAACAAATAAATAAAACTATTGAGGTGTTTTTGTCTTTGTTTTTGTTTTGTCTCGTTTCCTTCAGACGTCACAGAAATGAATCTGAACACAACAAAACTGAACTCAGCCGAGTCCAAAACTCTGTGTGTTTGTGTATATGTCATTTTATATATATTATATAGACTAACATATATATAAATATATTTATCTTTATGTTTCTGTACATTATGTGAAAATTTTTGATTATTTCAACAAGAACTGTCAAAACGGTCTGTTCAATGTCACATTTTTAGTGACGCTATAAATGTATAAATATATATTTGTGTGTGTGTCTGTTTGTGTGTGTGTTTGTGTGTGTATGTGTGTGTGTGTGTGTCTGTCTGTGTGTGTGTGTCTGTCTGTGTGTGTGTTGTGTGTGTATGTGTGTGTGTGTGTGTCTGTCTGTGTGTGTGTGTCTGTCTGTGTGTGTGTTGTGTGTATGTGTGTGTCTGTGTGTGTGTGTGTCTGTGTGTGTTTGTGTGTCTGTGTGTGTGTGTGTGTCTGTGTTTGTGTGTGTTTGTGTGTGTGTGTGTGTGTGTGTGTGTGTGTGTGTGCGCGGCTGATGAAGACTACATTTCCCATGATCCTCTGTGTCACACACATGTTCCCAGCCCCGCCCCCCTGTGGCATCTGCTCCGACCTGCTCCACCAGGCGCACCTGTCCTGTCACGTGACCCCTGCCCACACCTGCACAGACAGGTACACACCAGAACTGAGCCAGGACTAAACCAGGACTAAACCTGGACAAAACCTGGACTAAACCTGGACAAAACCTGGACTAAACCTGGACTAAACCTGGACTAAACCTGAACTAAAGAGAGTTGTTGTTTGTTGTTTGTTTTTAAACTCGTCTTTTCTCTGGAGGCTGAAGTTTTTCTGTGATTTTTGGAAATCGTCGTTTTAAAAAAGGTGAGTTTGTTTATTTTAAATCCATGTTTTTCCTCTGTAGTGTCCTCTGTGTTGTAGGGAGTATTATCTGTCACATAAAGGTGAACTGTTGTAGGGAGTATTATCTGTCACATAAAGGTGAGTTGTACTGTTGTAGGGAGTATTATCTGTTACATAAAGGTAAACTGTTGTAGGGAGTATTATCTGTCACATAAAGGTAAACTGTTGTAGGGAGTATTATCTGTTACATAAAGGTAAACTGTTGTAGGGAGTATTATCTGTTACATAAAGGTGAACTGTTGTAGGGAGTATTATCTGTTACATAAAGGTGAACCTGTTGTAGGGAGTATTATCTGTTACATAAAGGTGAACTGTTGTAGGGAGTATTATCTGTTACATAAAGGTGAGTTGTACTGTTGTAGGGAGTATTATCTGTTATATAAAGATGAACCTGTTGTAGGGAGTATTATCTGTTACATAAAAGTGAACTGTTGTAGGGAGTATTATCTGTTACATAAAGGTGAACTGTTGTAGGGAGTATTATCTGTTATATAAAGATGAACCTGTTGTAGGGAGTATTATCTGTTATATAAAGATGAACCTGTTGTAGGGAGTATTATCTGTTACATAAAGGTAAACTGTTGTAGGGAGTATTATCTGTCACATAAAGGTAAACTGTTGTAGGGAGTATTATCTGTTACATAAAGGTGAACTGTTGTAGGGAGTATTATCTGTTACATAAAGGTGAGTTGTACTGTTGTAGGGAGTATTATCTGTTATATAAAGATGAACCTGTTGTAGGGAGTATTATCTGTTACATAAAAGTGAACTGTTGTAGGGAGTATTATCTGTTATATAAAGGGTGATTTGTTTGTACAGTTGTAGGGAGTATTATCTGTTACATAAAGATGAACCTGTTGTAGGGAGTATTATCTGTCACATAAAGGTGAACCTGTTGTAGGGAGTATTATCTGTTACATAAAGGTGAACTGTTGTAGGGAGTATTATCTGTTACATAAAGGTGAGTTGTACTGTTGTAGGGAGTATTATCTGTTATATAAAGATGAACCTGTTGTAGGGAGTATTATCTGTTACATAAAAGTGAACTGTTGTAGGGAGTATTATCTGTTATATAAGGGTGATTTGTTGTACAGTTGTAGGGAGTATTATCTGTTACATAAAGATGAACCTGTTGTAGGGAGTATTATCTGTCACATAAAGGTGAACCTGTTGTAGGGAGTATTATCTGTTACATAAAGGTGAACTGTTGTAGGGAGTATTATCTGTTACATAAAGGTGAGTTGTACTGTTGTAGGGAGTATTATCTGTTATATAAAGATGAACCTGTTGTAGGGAGTATTATCTGTTACATAAAAGTGAACTGTTGTAGGGAGTATTATCTGTTATATAAGGGTGATTTGTTGTACAGTTGTAGGGAGTATTATCTGTTACATAAAGATGAACCTGTTGTAGGGAGTATTATCTGTTACATAAAGATGAACCTGTTGTAGGGAGTATTATCTGTTACATAAAGGTGAACCTGTTGTAGGGAGTATTATCTGTCACATAAAAGGTGAACCTGTTGTAGGGAGTATTATCTGTTATATAAAAGTGAACCTGTTGTAGGGAGTATTATCTGTGACATAAAGGTGAGTTGTTGTACAGTTGTAGGGAGTATTATAGTATAAATGAGTCCCTCTTTCCCTCTCTTCTTTCTCTCCTCGTTGCTTTTCCTCTCTCCCCTCCGCTCCTTCCATCTCTGTATCTCTCTCTTCTGTTCCTCTCTCCATCTCTTTCTCCCTCCTCCCCTCCTCTGACTTCACCTCTCTCCTCCATCCCTCCATCTCTCTGTCCCTCTCTTCTCTTCCCTCTCTCCTTTCTCCTTTTTCTCTTCTCTCTCTCCTTCTTGCATTCCCTCTCCTCTCTCTCTCTTTCTTCTTCTCTCCTCTTCAGTTTACCTCTCACTCTCCACTCCCTCCATCTCCCCTTATCCTCCGCTCTTTATCTCTCTCTCCTTCTTCTTTCCCTCCTCTCCTCCCTCTCTTTTCCTTCACTGTTTACCTTTCCTCTCTCTCCTCCCTGCTCCCCTTTTATCTCTCCCTCCCTTCTCCTCCTTCCCTTCCCTCTCTCTTTCCTCTTTTTCTTCCCTTCCTTCCTTGTGTTAATTCTCTCTCTCTTTCTTCTTTCCCTCCCTTCTCTCTCTCTCTCTCTCTCTCCTGCTCCCCCTCTCTGACTTCACCTCTCTCCTCCCTCCCTCTCTTTCCCAACACCACCTTCTCTCTCCCTCTTCTCTTCTCTCTCTCTCTTTCTTCACTCCCCTCTTTCTCCCTTGTCCCCCTCTCTCACCTCTTCACTTCTTCCCTCTCTTTTATCTCTCCCTCCCTTCTCTTACGTCTCTTTCCTCGCATCCCTCCATCTCACTTCTCCTCTCCCTCCTTCCCTCCTCTTCCCTCTCTCTCTCCTCTTTTTCTTCTTCTTTCTTGTTCTCTCTCTCTCTCTCCCTTTCTTCTTTCCCTCCCTCGTCGCTCAGTTTTTTCCTCCTAACACCCTCCTCTCTTCTCTCTCTCTCTCTCCCTCCATCCCTCTCTCTCTTTCCCTCTCCTCTCTCTCCCAACACCACCTTCTCTCTCTCCCTTTTCTCTCACTTTCTCTTCATTCCCCTCTTCTCTCCCTCCATTCTCTTCTCTATCTCCTCCTCTGTTTACTCTCTCTCTCTCTCAGCTCCACCCTCTTCTCTCTATCACTCCTTCACTCCTTTATCTCTCTCTCTCCGTCTCCTCCCGTCTCTTATCTCTCTCTCTCCCTCCCTGTTTCAACTTTCACCTCTTTCACTCCTCCCTCCTTCTCTCTCTCTCTCTCTCTCTCTCTCTCTCTCTCTCTCCTGCGGCGGGGAGTCACCTGTCCTGTCTGTCTCACCTGTCCGGCTCTGGCCCCGCCCCCCTGATGACGTCACAGGGTGTCATCACAACCTGTGATCAGGAACATCTGCCCCAACTGACCTGGTTTAGACCTGGTTTAGTCCTGGTTTAGACCTGGTTTAGTCCTGGTTTAGTTCTGGTTTAGACCTGGTTTAGTCCTGGTTTAGTCCTGGTTTAGTTCTGGTTTAGTCCTGGTTTAGACCTGGTTTAGTCTTGGTTCAGTCCTGGTTCAGTTCTGGTTTAGACCTGGTTTAGTCCTGGTTTAGTCCTGATTTAGACCTGGTTTAGTCCTGGTTTAGTGCTGGTTTAGACCTGGTTTAGTCCTGGTTTAGACCTGGTTTAGTCTTGGTTCAGTCCTGATTCAGTTCTGGTTTAGACCTGGTTTAGTCCTGGTTTAGACCTGGTTTAGTCCTGGTCTAGTCCTGGTTTAGTCCTGGTCTAGTTCTGGTTTAGTCCTGATTTAGACCTGGTTTAGTCCTGGTTTAGTGCTGGTTTAGACCTGGTTTAGTCCTGGTTTAGTCCTGGTTTGGTCCTGGTTTGGTCCTGGTTTAGACCTGGTTTAGACCTGGTTTATTCCTGGTTTAGTCCTGGTTTAGTCCTGGTTCAGTCCTGGTTTAGTTCTGGTTTCGTCCTGACAGGTTGAACTTTGTGTACCTCCTCAGGCCCCGCCCCCTCACACCTGTCCGCGCTCAGGCCCCGCCCCCTCACACCTGTCCGCGCTCAGGCCCCGCCCCCTCACACCTGTCCTCGCTCAGGCCCCGCCCCCTCACACCTGTCCTCGCTCACCTGTCTCGCCAGGCCCCCCCTCACACCTGTCCTCGCTCAGGCCCGCCCCCTCACACCTGTCCGCGCTCAGGCCCCGCCCCCTCACACCTGTCCTCGCTCAGGCCCCGCCCCCTCACACCTGTCCTCGCTCAGGCCCGCCCCCTCACACCTGTCCTCGCTCAGGCCCCGCCCCTCACACCTGTCCGCGCTCAGGCCCCGCCCCCTCACACCTGTCCGTCCTCAGTCTCTCGTTGTTGGGCTGAAGCTGAGGCAGGACTCGCTCTGGTAAGATCTGAAACTTCTGATTCTTCTGATTGAAAGAAACAAAAGACGAGCACAGAAACTTTACTTCAGAATAATGTTACTCAAGTAGAAGTACAAGAAAGTACTCAAGTAAAAGTAACTTAGACTAACTGAAAAACCTGAAATAAATCCCTGAATCAGAAAACAAAAAGAAACTCAAACGTTCAAAATGTTTCAGATTCACAGAAAAACTTCAGACTCTCGGGGAGGAAGAAGCACGACTGTTACTCGAGTAAAAGTACTGTTACTCTGTAGTTTACTAAAGGAAATGTATCCGAGTACTGTCTTCCTCAGCGTCCATGTGAAAATGGAAATATAGAAACGTTTCGTCTGTTTGCACCATCAGGTTTGTCTCTCGTCTTTTCTGGGGCCGAGCAGAAAAAAAACAAAACGAAGCAGAAACTCAAATGTTACAGATTAAAAAAAAGTTCTTTAAAAAACGTTTTTTCCCACACATAAAGCAGAAAACAAAAACAATCAAAAAAGAAAATTAGAAAAACCAGAAAGAATGTAAATATAACAAGAGTAAATCAAACTTAAGAGAAACAAAGTGAAATGGACGAGAAGATTTATCAAACTCTGAGTATTTTATTTCTCTGTAAATGTTGTTACTGAAGTTTCCTTTTTGCTGGAGAAATGTTGGATCGAAAATTGAAAATAATTTATTTCAATCCGTGTGTCGTTCATTCGTTTTTCAATATAAAACCAAAAATAAGAAAACGAAAAAACAACAATTTTCTTCGTTATTTGTCTCCAAAACCAAAAGTTTAAAACAGATAACGATTCATTTTTTCAGTTTTCGATTTTGTGTTTAAATGAAAAATGGAAAAAACTGATAATGTCCGTTTCCCGTTTACGTGACTTCAGTGACTGTGATGCCGAACTTTTGCACCGCATACGGACTGAACAAGGTCCGGGACCAGACCGGGACCAGACTGGGACTGAGACCGGGACCAGACCGGGACCAGACCGGAGGCTCAGAGCCCACAGCAGGACCGGAGCTCGAAGTTGAGGCTCGGACCCTGCGGAGGCTCAGAGTCAAAGCTTGGAGTCTCAGTCTGGTCCAGGTCTCAGTCCCGGTCTGGTCCCGGACCTGGATCAGTCCTGGTTCAGTCCGTACGTGACGCAAAAGTCTGACATCACAGTCACTGAAGTCACGTAAACGGGAAACGCCATTATCCATTTTTTCCATTTTTCATTTAAACACAAAATCGAAAACTGAAAAAAGGAATCGTTTTCTGTTTTTTCATTTTGGTTTTGGAGACAAATAACAAAGAAAAATTTTGTTTTTTCGTTTTCTTATTTTTGGTTTTATATTGAAAAACGAATGATACACGGATTTATTTCTATTAGTGCTGGAAAAGAAGATTTTGTTTTTGAGAATTTATCTGTGTGTGTGTGTCTTTACCAAGAAGATCTCAAATCAAGATTCCCCTGGGGGGGGGGGGCGGGGTCAGGGGGCGGGGTCAGGGGTCTGAATCTGAAATCATGTTTTTCAGATTTGATCCAAAAGTTTCAGATTCAGATTTGGATTTTTTTGTCCTTTGAGTTTTTAAGTTTGTTTTTCTCAGTTTCCTCGTTTGACTCAAATCAGAAAATTATAAAAAGACAAAAGAAAAACTTTAATTCATCATAAAAATGTTCACACATTCTGTTTGGGTCCAAACTCTCGGTTCTGTTCTGTGTGGATGGAGGAGGTTCTGTTTGGTTCTGTTACAGTTGGTTCTGGTTCTGATGGTTCTGGTTCTGATGGTTCTGGTTGTGGTTGTGGTTCTGTTTCAGATGGTGGAGCAGATGTTCTGTTGGTTCTGGTTCTGTTGGTTCTGATGGTTCTGATGGTTCTGGTTGTGGTTCTGTTGGTTCTGATGGTTCTGGTTCTGGTTCTGTTGGTTCTGTTGGTTGTGATGGTTGTGGTTCTGTTTCAGATGGCCGAGCAGATGTTCTGTTGGTTCTGGTTCTGATGGTTCTGGTTCTGTTGGTTCTGATGGTTCTGATGGTTCTGGTTGTGGTTCTGTTGGTTCTGGTTCTGTTGGTTCTGATGGTTCTGGTTCTGATGGTTCTGATGGTTCTGGTTCTGATGGTTCTGATGGTTCTGGTTCTGATGTTCTGATGGTTCTGGTTTGGTTCTGGTTCTGATGGTTCTGTTGGTTCTGTTGGTTCTGATGGTTCTGGTTCTGATGGTTCTGGTTGTGGTTCTGTTTCAGATGGTGGAGCAGATGTTCTGTTGGTTCTGGTTCTGATGGTTCTGGTTCTGGTTCTGTTGGTTCTGGTTCTGATGGTTCTGGTTCTGGTTCTGTTTCAGATGGCCGAGCAGATGTTCTGATGGTTCTGGTTCTGATGGTTCTGTTGGTTCTGTTGGTTGTGATGGTTCTGGTTCTGGTTGTGGTTCTGTTTCAGATGGCCGAGCAGATGTTCTGATGGTTCTGGTTCTGGTTCTGATGGTTCTGATGGTTCTGGTTCTGATGGTTCTGGTTCTGATGGTTCTGTTGGTTCTGTTGGTTCTGATGGTTCTGGTTCTGATGGTTCTGGTTCTGGTTCTGATGGTTCTGATGGTTCTGGTTCTGGTTCTGTTTCAGATGGCCGAGCAGATGTTCTGATGGTTCTGGTTCTGTTGGTTCTGGTTCTGATGGTTCTGGTTCTGGTTCTGATGGTTCTGTTGGTTCTGATGGTTCTGGTTGTGGTTCTGATGGTTCTGGTTCTGGTTCTGTTTCAGATGGCCGAGCAGATGTTCTGATGGTTCTGGTTCTGATGGTTCTGGTTGTGGTTCTGATGGTTCTGGTTCTGTTTCAGATGGTGGAGCAGATGTTCTGTTGGTTCTGGTTCTGTTGGTTCTGATGGTTGTGATGGTTCTGGTTCTGTTGGTTCTGGTTCTGATGGTTCTGGTTGTGGTTCTGATGGTTCTGGTTGTGGTTCTGATGGTTCTGGTTCTGGTTCTGTTTCAGATGGCCGAGCAGATGTTCTGTTGGTTCTGGTTCTGTTGGTTCTGATGGTTCTGATGGTTCTGGTTCTGATGGTTCTGTTGGTTCTGATGGTTCTGTTGGTTCTGTTGATGGTTCTGGTTCTGGTTCTGTTGGTTCTGTTGGTTGTGATGGTTGTGGTTCTGTTTCAGATGGCCGAGCAGATGTTCTGTTGGTTCTGGTTCTGATGGTTCTGGTTCTGTTGGTTCTGATGGTTCTGATGGTTCTGGTTGTGGTTCTGTTGGTTCTGATGGTTCTGGTTCTGGTTCTGTTGGTTCTGATGGTTCTGGTTCTGATGGTTCTGATGGTTCTGGTTCTGATGGTTCTGATGGTTCTGGTTCTGATGGTTCTGGTTCTGATGGTTCTGTTGGTTCTGTTGGTTCTGATGGTTCTGGTTCTGATGGTTCTGGTTGTGGTTCTGTTTCAGATGGTGGAGCAGATGTTCTGTTGGTTCTGGTTCTGATGGTTCTGGTTCTGGTTCTGTTGGTTCTGGTTCTGATGGTTCTGGTTCTGGTTCTGTTTCAGATGGCCGAGCAGATGTTCTGATGGTTCTGGTTCTGATGGTTCTGTTGGTTCTGTTGGTTGTGATGGTTCTGGTTCTGGTTGTGGTTCTGTTTCAGATGGCCGAGCAGATGTTCTGATGGTTCTGGTTCTGGTTCTGATGGTTTCTGATGGTTCTGGTTCTGATGGTTTCTGATGGTTTTCTGATGGTTCTGTTGGTTCTGTTGGTTCTGATGGTTCTGGTTCTGATGGTTCTGGTTCTGGTTCTGATGGTTCTGATGGTTCTGGTTCTGATGGTTCTGGTTCTGGTTCTGTTTCAGATGGCCGAGCAGATGTTCTGATGGTTCTGGTTCTGTTGGTTCTGGTTCTGATGGTTCTGGTTCTGGTTCTGATGGTTCTGTTGGTTCTGATGGTTCTGGGTTGTGGTTCTGATGGTTCTGGTTCTGGTTCTGTTTCAGATGGCCGAGCAGATGTTCTGATGGTTCTGGTTCTGATGGTTCTGGTTGTGGTTCTGATGGTTCTGGTTCTGTTTCAGATGGTGGAGCAGATGTTCTGTTGGTTCTGGTTCTGTTGGTTCTGATGGTTGTGATGGTTCTGGTTCTGTTGGTTCTGGTTCTGATGGTTCTGGTTCTGTGGTTCTGATGGTTCTGGTTGTGGTTCTGATGGTTCTGGTTCTGGTTCTGTTTCAGATGGCCGAGCAGATGTTCTGTTGGTTCTGGTTCTGTTGGTTCTGATGGTTCTGATGGTTCTGGTTCTGATGGTTCTGTTGGTTCTGATGGTTCTGGTTGTTCTGGTTCTGATGGTTCTGGTTCTGGTTCTGTTTCAGATGGCCGAGCAGATGTTCTGTTGGTTCTCTTGGTTCTGTTGGTTCTGTTGGTTCTGATGGTTCTGATGGTTCTGGTTGTGGTTCTGATGGTTCTGGTTGTGGTTCTGATGGTTCTGGTTGTGGTTCTGTGGTTCTGATGGTTCTGGTTCTGGTTCTGTTTCAGATGGCCGAGCAGATGGCTGAGGACCCAGAGTTGTTCTCTGAGCAGGAGCTCACCTGCTCCATCTGCCTGGACCTGTTCAACCAACCAGTGTCGACGCCCTGTGGACACAACTTCTGCCAGGTACTAATACTACAACTACTACTACTACTACTACTGCAAATACTACTACTACTACAACCACACCCTGTGGACACAACTTCTGCCAGGTACTAATACTACAACTACTACAAGTACTACTACTACTACTGCAAATACTACTACTACTACAACCACACCCTGTGGACACAACTTCTGCCAGGTACTAATACTACAACTACTACTACTACTACTACTGCTGCAAATACTACTACTACTACAACCACACCCTGTGGACACAACTTCTGCCAGGTACTAATACTACAAGTACTACAAGTACTACTACTACTACTACTACTGCAAATACTACTACTACTACTACTGCAAATACTACTACTACTACAACCACACCCTGTGGACACAACTTCTGCCAGGTACTAATACTACAACTACTACAAGTACTACTACTACTACTACTGCAAATACTACTACTACTACAACCACACCCTGTGGACACAACTTCTGCCAGGTACTAATACTACAAGTACTACAAGTACTACTACTACTACTACTGCAAATACTACTACTACTACTACTACTACACTACTGCAAATACTACAACTACTACTGCAAATACTACTACTACTACAACCACACCCTGTGGACACAACTTCTGCCAGGTACTAATACTACAACTACTACAAGTACTACTACAACTACTACTGCAAATACTACTACTACTACAACCACACCCTGTGGACACAACTTCTGCCAGGTACTAATACTACAACTACTACAAGTACTACTACTACTACTACTACCACACACCTGTGGACACAACTTCTGCCAGGTACTAATACTACAACTACTACAAGTACTACTACTACTACTACTACTGCAAATACTACTACTACTACTACAACCACACCCTGTGGACACAACTTCTGCCAGGTACTAATACTACAACTACTACAAGTACTACTACTACTACTACTACTACTACTACTGCAAATACTACTACTACTACAACCACACCCTGTGGACACAACTTCTGCCAGGTACTAATACTACAACTACTACAATACTACTACTACTACTACTACACTACTGCAAATACTACTACTGTGGACACAACTACTGCCAACTACTACAAATACTACTACTACTACTACTACTGCAAATACTACTACTACAACCACACCCTGTGGACACAACTTCTGCCAGGTACTAATACTACAACTACTACAAGTACTACTACTACTGCAAATACTACTACTACTACTACTGCAAATACTACTACTACTACTACTGCAAATACTACTACTACTACTACTACACTACTGCAAAACTACTACTACTACTACTACTACTGCAAATACTACTACTACTACTACTGCAAATACTACTACTACTACTACTACTACTACTGCAAATACTACTACTACTGCAAATACTACTACTACTACTACTACTACGCAAATACTACTACTACTACTACTACTGCAAATACTACTACTACTACTACTACTGCAAATACTACTACTACTACTACTGCAAACTACTACTACTACTACTACTGCAAATACTACTACTACTACTACTACTGCAAAACTACTACTACTACTACTGCAAATACTACTACTACTACTACTGCAAAACTACTACTACTACTACTGCAAAACTACTACTACTACTACTACTGCAAATACTACTACTACTACTACTATACTGCAAATACTACTACTACTACTACTGCAAATACTACTACTACTGCAAATACTACTACTACTACTGCAAATACTACTGCAAATACTACTACTACTACTACTGCAAATACTACTACTACTACTACTACTGCAAATACTACTGCAAATACTACTACTACTGCAAATACTACTACTACTACTACTACTGCAAATACTACTACTACTACTACTGCAAATACTACTACTACTACTACTACTGCTGCAAATACTACTACTACTACTACTGCAAATACTACTACTACTACTACTGCAAATACTACTACTACTACAGCCGACCAGTGTCTGTTCTCTGTGGATACAACTTCTGTCCGGTCTACAGTCCCTGACAAAAGTCTTGTTTATCCATTTTGTAGAAACAAAAGTTTATAACCTGACTTTAAATTAATCGATTGGTTTTAGAAATGTCTCATATGAAGCTAAAACCCTCCCAAATTATGATCAATAAACTAAAATAAAATTGCTTCACTGAAGAAAGATTGATCATTTAATGAGCACAGAAAGGTCAGATTTTGACAAGACAAAAGTCTTGTGGTCTTGTCATATGATGCACCAATCCTAGATTACAGCCTCACCTGTGATCAGTTACTGATCAATCAGTTAGTGTTTGTGTATAAAAAGAACCCAGCAGAACCAGACCTTCACATCAACTGTAACTTGACCTCTGACAACATGCCTCAGATCCACCCTGAGACCAAAGCCTTAATTATCAAGAGACTGAAGACCAGATCCACTGCTGAGGTGGTGACACCTTCAATGTGTCTCAGCGTCAAGTACAAAGAAGAAGAAAAAAGATCTGAAATGACTGGAGATGTTTTTGACAAGCCCAGGTCCAGCAGACGCCGCAAGACAACTGCTCTGGAGGAAAATCCAAGGCCCCTTTTCCACTGCAGCAGACTCCACCAGGCCTGGTCACCTCAAGTCCCTGTGTCAACCACAACAGTTTGTACAATTCTGTCTGGAAATGGCCTCCATGGTCGAATCAGTGCACAGAAACCAGCACTAAACAAAAGACAATTAAAAAACCATGTGGCATTTGCCAAGGCCCACAGCCTGATAAAAGGATGGACACTGGAAAAGTGGCAGAAGGTGGATTTCTCAGATGAATCCTCGGTTGAATTACATCACAGCCACAGCAAAATATTGCAGGAGACCAACTGGAGCCACATGGATCCAAGATTCACCCAGAAAACAGTTAAGTTTGGTGGCGGAAAAATCCTGGTCTGTGGTTCCATCCAGTCTGGGGGTGTGAGACATTTGCAGGGTGGAAGGCAAATATCAATAACCTAAAATATCAAGAAGTATCAGCTCCTCTTACATTCCCAACCATAAAAGGGTCAGATTTTGCAGCAGGATGGTGCTCCATCACATACTTCTATCTCTACATCAAAGTTTGTCAAGGTGAAGAAGATCAAGGTGCTGCAGGACTGACCAGCCCAGTCACCAGACATGAACATCACTGAGCAGGTCTGGGGTAGAATGAAAGAGGAAACATGAAGACAAAACCAAAGAATCTTGATGAACTCTGGGAGGCTGTAAGACGCTTTCTTTACTATTCCTGATGACTTCATCAACAAACTGTATGAATCATTGTTGAACCACATGGATGTGTCCTTCAAGCTCATGGAGTCATACAAGATATTAAATCTGATCTCACAGCACCACTACTTCATTCACTGACGTTATGCAACAGATTTGTGTATTTGAAGTAAATTATTTGTTCAATTTTCTGTAGGCGACAAGACTTTTGTCTTGCCAAAATCTGACCTTTCTGTGTTCATTAAATGATCAATCTTTCTTCAGTGAAGAACATTTATTTTAGTTTATTGAGCATAATTTGGGAGGGTTTTAGCTTCATATGAGACATTTCTAAAACCAATCGATTAATTTAAAGTCAAGTTATAAGCTTTTGTTTCTACAAAATGGATAAATGACAAGACTTTTGTCAGGGACTGTAGTCTTTTTTTCTCTCCTCAGGTGTCACCTGTCCTCACCTGTCCTCACCTGTCCTCACCTGTCCTCACCTGTCCTCACCTGTCCTCACTGTCCTGTCCTCTCCTGTCTTCACCTGTCTTCACCTGTCTTCACCTGTCCTCACCTGTCCTCACCTGTCCTCTCCTGTCCTCACCTGTCCTCACCTGTCTTCACCTGTCCTCACCTGTCTTCACCTGTCTCACCTGTCTCACCTGTCCTCACCTGTCTTCACCTGTCCTCACCTGTCCTCACCTGTCCTCACCTGTCCTCACCTGTCCTCACCTGTCTTCACCTGTCCTCTCCTGTCCTCACCTGTCTTCACCTGTCTTCACCTGTCCTCACCTGTCCTCACCTGTCCTCTCCTGTCCTCACCTGTCTTCACCTGTCTTCACCTGTCCTCACCTGTCCTCTCCTGTCCTCACCTGTCCTCACCTGTCCTCTCCTGCCCTAACCTGTCCTCACCTGTCCTCACCTGTCTCACCTGTCCTCTCCTGTCCTCACCTGTCTCCTGTCCTCACCTGTCCTCTCCTGTCCTCACCTGTCCTCACCTGTCCACCTCACCTGTCCTCACCCGTCTCACCTGTCCACCTGTCCTCCTGTCCTCTCCTGTCCTCACCTGTCCTCTCCTGTCCTCACCTGTCCTCACCCTGTCCTCACCTGTCTTCACCTGTCCTCACCTGTCCTCTCCTGTCCTCTCCTGTCCTCACCTGTCCTGTCTCACCTGTCCTCACCTGTCCTCACCTGTCCACCTGTCTCCTCACCTGTCTCCTCCTGTCCTGTCCTCTCCTGTCCTCACCTGTCCTCACCTGTCTTCACCTGTCCTCACCTGTGTCCTCTCCTGTCCTCCTCTGTCCTCTCCTGTCACCTGTCCTCACCTGTCCTCTGTCCTCACCTGTCTTCACCTGTCCTCTCCTCCTGTCCTCACCTGTCCTTCCTGTCCTCAACCTGTCCTCTCCTGTCCTCTCCTGTCCTCACCCGTCCTCACCCTGTCTTCACCTGTCCTCACCTGTCCTCTCCTGTCCTCTCCTGTCCTCACCTGTCCTCTCCTGTCCTCACCTGTCCTGTCCTCACTGTCCTCCCTGTCTCACCTGTCCTCACCCGTCCTCTCCTCTTCCTGTCCTCACCTGTCCTCCCTGTCCTCTCCTGTCCTCACTCTGTCCTCACCTGTCCTCACCTGTCCTCACCTGTCCTCTCCTGTCCTCACCTGTCGTCTTCCTCAACCGTCCTGTCACCTGTCTTCACCTGTCCTCACCTGTCCTCTCTGTCCTTCCTTCCTCATGTCCTCACCCGTCCTCACCTGTCCTCACCCGTCCTCACCTGTCTTCACCTGTCTTCACCTGTCTTCCAGGCGTGCATCGGCGGGTACTGGGCGTCGTCACCTGTCTGCACCTGTCCTCTGTGTAAGCGTCAGTTTGATGAGCGCCCCCTGCTGTCGGTGAACCGCGTCTTCGCCGCCATCGCCGACAAATACAAACTGAAGCGCTACGGCATCGCCCCCGGCGCCGCCGCCACGGACAACCCCTTCCTGTTCCCGGAGGGGGCGGGGGCCACGGGGGGGCCACGGCGGCGGGGGCGGAGGGGGCGTGGTCGGACGAGAAGGGGGCGGGGTTTGACCTGGAGCGCGTGAAGCTCGGCGAGACGGTCTGGTGTGACGTGTGCACAGGTGAGAAGATCCGCACTTTAATCTGCTCCATGTTCTAATGTTCCTCACAAACATCCAAACGAGTCTGTACGAGGCTCCGCCCACACGTTCCACAGTACGAGTCTGTACGAGGCTCCGCCCACACGTTCCACAGTACGAGTCTGTACGAGGCTCCGCCCACACGTCCCACAGTACGAGTCTGTACGAGGCTCCGCCCACACGTTCCACAGTACGAGTCTGTACGAGGCTCCGCCCACACGTCCCACAGTACGAGTCTGTACGAGGCTCCGCCCACACGTCCCACAGTACGAGTCTGTTCGAGGCTCCGCCCACACATCCCACAGTACGAGTCTGTACGAGGCTCCGCCCACACGTCCGTTCCGCCCACAGTACGAGTCTGTACGAGGCTCCGCCCACACGTCCCACACCACAATCCTCCATAAAAACACAAAAACAAGACACAAAACTGAACTCATCACGTTTGTGCAGGAGTTTCATCAGTTTCATCAGTGGGACACTCACTTATGAAGGTCAAACTGTCTCAAAAAGATTAAAAATAAATACAAATAGACATAAAAATGAACAAATATGTATAAATAAACATAAATATACTTTTGAGATTTTTTTGCTTTTCTCTCAATGGTGCAATTTTGCCAACTTTATATAGACAGCGAATAATTACATCCCGAGTGTGTGAGTGTGTGTCCTCAGTGTGTGTGTGTGTGTCCCGAGTGTGTGTGTGTGTCCCGAGTGTGAGTGTGTGTCCTCAGTGTGTGTGTGTGTGTCCTCAGTGTGTGTGTGTCCTCAGTGTGTGTGTGTGTGTGTGTGTGTGTGTGTGTCCTCAGTGTGAGTGTGTGTCCTCAGTGTGTGTGTGTGTCCTCTGTGTGAGTGTGTGTGTGTGTCCTCAGTGTGTGTGTGTGTCCTCAGTGTGAGTGTGTGTCCTCAGTGTGTGTGTGTGTCCTCAGTGTGAGTGTGTGTCCTCAGTGTGTGTGTGTGTCCTCAGTGTGTGTGTGTGTGTCCTCAGTGTGTGTGTGTGTCCCTGTGAGTGTGTGTGTGTGTGTGTCCTCAGTGTGTGTGTGTGTGTCCTCAGTGTGTGTGTGTGTCCCGAGTGTGTGTGTGTGTCCCGAGTGTGTGTGTGTGTCCCGAGTGTGTGTGTGTGTCCCGAGTGTGTGTGTGTGTCCCGAGTGTGAGTGTGTGTCCTCAGTGTGTGTGTGTGTCCTCAGTGTGTGTGTGTGTGTCCTCAGTGTGTCCATGTTCACGTTCAGTCCATGTGGACGTGCGTCTAGTCCAGGGGTGGGCAAACCTTTTGGCTCGCGGGCCACATAGGGTCCTAAAATTTGCCTGAAGGGCCAGACAGAAGACGGGACATGATGTGTTCAGAGCACACACACACACACACACACACACACACACACACACACACACACACACACACACACACACACACACAGAACAGACTTAGCACAGAGAGCAAAATTGTTGTTTTGTTGAATAGAACATTTTAAAAAGAGTCAAATTAACCCCCCTGCCCCCGCCCCCCCGCCCCCCCCCTCAGGTCTGAAGGAGCCGGCCGTCAGCTCGTGCCTCACGTGCACGGCGTCCTACTGCTCCGTGCACGTGGAGCCTCATCGCTCGACGCCGTTTTACGCCTCCCACACCCTCCTCCACCCGCAGGAGGCGCTCAAGGGACGCACCTGCGAAGAGCACTACCGCATGCTCGAGGTAATGACCCCCCCCCAACCTCATCTGACCCCCCCCCGACCTCATCTGACCCCCCTGTGACCCCCCCCCGACCTCATCTGACCCCTCTGACCCCCCCCGACCCCTCTGACCCCCCCCCCCGACCCCTGTGACCCCGACCCCTCCTGACCCCCCGACCCCTGTGACCCCTGTGACCCCCCCGACCCTGACCCTCCTGACCCCCCCGACCCCATGACCCCATCTGACCCCCCCCGACCCCCTGACCCCCCCGACCCCATCTGACCCCCTGTGACCCCCCCGACCTCATCTGACCCCCTCTGACCCCCCCCGACCCCATCTGACCCCTGACCCCCTGACCCCCTGACCCCCCGACCTCATCTGACCCCCTGTGACCCCCCGACCTGACCCCCTCTGACCCCCCCCTCTGACCCCCCCCGACCCCTGTGACCCTGTGACCCCCCCGACCCCCCCCTGACCCCCCTCTGACCCCCCGACCACCCTGTGACCCCCCCCCCCTGACCCCTGACCCCCCCCCGACCTCATCTGACCCCCTCTGACCCCCCCGACCCCTGACCCCCCCCCGACCCCTGTTGTTCTTGTTCTTCAGGTGTTGTTCTTCTTGTTCTTCAGGTGTTGTTCTTGTTGTTCTTCAGGTGTTGTTCTTCTTGTTCTTCAGGTGTTGTTCTTGTTGTTCTTCAGGTGTTGTTCTTGTTGTTCTTCAGGTGTTGTTCTTCTTTGTTGTTCTTCAGGTGTTGTTCTTCTTGTTGTTCTTCAGGTGTTGTTCTTCTTGTTCTTCAGGTTCTTCTTGTGTTTTCAGGTGTTCTTCTTGTTGTTCTTCAGGTGTTCTTGTTCTTCAGGTGTGTTGTTCTTCTTGTTCTTCAGGTGTTGTTCTTCTTGTTCTTCAGGTGTTGTTCTTGTTGTTCTTCAGGTGTTGTTCTTCTTGTTCTTCAGGTGTTCTTCTTGTTGTTCTTCAGGTGTTGTTCTTGTTGTTCTTCAGGTGTTGTTCTTGTTGTTCTTCAGGTGTTGTTCTTCTTGTTCTTCAGGTGTTGTTCTTGTTGTTCTTCAGGTGTTGTTCTTGTTGTTCTTCAGGTGTTGTTCTTGTTGTTCTTCAGGTGTTGTTCTTCTTGTGTCTGTCAGGTTGTTCTTGTTTTCTTCAGGTGTTTGTTCTTCTTGTTCTTTCAGGTGTTGTTCTTCTTGTTCTTCAGGTGTTGTTCTTGTTGTGTTCTTCAGGTGTTGTTCTTGTTGTTCTTGTTTTCTTGTTCTTCAGGTGTTGTTTCTTCTTGTTGTTCTTCAGGTGTTGTTTTCTTCTTTGTTCTTCAGGTGTTGTTCTTCTTGTTCTTGTTCTTCAGGTGTTGTTCTTTCTTCAGGTTTTGTTCTTCTTCAGGTGTTGTTCTTGTTGTTCTTCAGGTGTTGTTCTTCTTGTTGTTCTTCAGGTGTTGTTCTTCTTGTTGTTCTTCAGGTGTTCTTCTTGTTGTTCTTCAGGTGTTGTTCTTGTTGTTCTTCCAGGTGTTGTTCTTGTTGTTCTTCAGGTTTGTTCTTCTTGTTGTTCTTCAGGTGTGTTCTTCTTGTTGTTTCTTCAGGTGTTGTTCTTTTGTTCTTCAGGTGTTGTTCTTCAGGTTGTTCTTGTTCTTCAGGTGTTGTTCTTGTTTGTTCTTCAGGTGTTGTTCTTGTTGTTCTTCAGGTGTTGTTCTTCTTGTTCTTCAGGTGTTGTTCTTGTTGTTCTTCAGGTGTTGTTCTTGTTGTTCTTCAGGTGTTGTTCTTCTTCTTGTTCTTCAGGTGTTGTTCTTCTTCTGTTCTTCAGGTGTTGTTCTTCTTGTTGTTCTTCAGGTGTTGTTCTTGTTGTTCTTCAGGTGTTGTTCTTGTTCTTCTTGTTGTTCTTCAGGTGTTGTTCTTGTTGTTCTTCAGGTGTTGTTCTTCTTGTTGTTCTTCAGGTGTTGTTCTTCTTGTTGTTCTTCAGGTGTTGTTCTTGTTGTTCTTCAGGTGTTGTTCTTGTTGTTCTTCAGGTGTTGTTCTTCTTCTTGTTCTTCAGGTGTTGTTCTTCTTCTGTTCTTCAGGTGTTGTTCTTCTTGTTCTTCAGGTGTTGTTCTTGTTGTTCTTCAGGTGTTGTTCTTGTTGTTCTTCAGGTGTTGTTCTTGTTGTTCTTCAGTTTGTTTCTTTTCAGGTTTCTTCTTGTTGTTCTTCAGGTGTTGTTCTTCTTGTTCTTCAGGTGTTGTTCTTCTTGTTTTCTTCAGGTGTCTTGTCTTGTTGTTCTTCAGGTGTTGTTCTTCTTGTTTCTTCAGGTGTTGTTCTTGTTGTTTCTTTCAGGTGTTGTTCTTCTTTGTTCTCAGGTGTTGTTCTCTTCTGTGTTCTTCAGGTGTTGTTCTTCAGTTGTTCTTCTTGTTTCAGGTTGTTGTTCTTCTTGTTGTTCTTCAGGTGTTGTTCTTCAGGTGTTGTTCTTCTTGTTCTTCAGGTGTTGTTCTTCAGGTGTTGTTCTTGTTGTTCTTCAGGTGTTGTTCTTCTTGGTGTTCTTCAGGTGTTGTTCTTCTTGTTCTTCAGGTGTTGTTCTTCTTGTTGTTCTTCAGGTGTTGTTCTTGTTGTTCTTCAGTGTGTTGTTCTTGTCTTGTGTTGTTCTTCAGTTCTTCAGGTGTTGTTCTTCTTGTTGTTCTTCAGGTGTTGTTCTTAGTTGTTTTTCTTCAGGTGTGTTCTTCTTGTCTTCAGTGTTGTTCTTCTTGTTGTTCTTCAGGTGTTGTTCTTGTTTGTTCTTCAGGTGTTGTTCTTCAGGTGTTGTTCTTGTTCTTCAGGTGTTGTTCTTGTTCTTCAGGTGTTGTTCTTCTTGTTCTTCAGGTGTTGTTCTTCTTGTTGTTCTTCAGGTGTTGTTCTTCTTGTTGTTCTTCAGGTGTTGTTCTTCTTGTTGTTCTTCAGGTGTTGTTCTTCTTGTTGTTCTTCAGGTGTTGTTCTTCTTGTTGTTCTTCAGGTGTTGTTCTTCTTGTTGTTCTTCAGGTGTTGTTCTTGTTGTTCTTCAGGTGTTCTTGTTGTTCTTCAGGTGTTGTTCTTCTTGTTGTTCTTCAGGTGTTGTTCTTGTTGTTCTTCAGGTGTTGTTCTTGTTGTTCTTCAGGTGTTGTTCTTGTTCTTGTTTCTTGTTGTTCTTCAGGTGTTGTTCTTCAGGTGTTGTTCTTCTTGTTCTTCAGGTTCTTCAGTTCTTCTTCTTCAGGTGTTGTTCTTCTTGTTCTTCAGGTTTGTTCTTCAGGTGTTGTTCTTCAGTGTTCTTCTTGTTGTTGTTCTTCAGGTGTTGTTCTTGTTGTTGTTCTTCAGGTGTTGTTCTTGTTGTTCTTCAGGTGTTGTTCTTCTTGTTGTTCTTCAGGTGTTGTTCTTGTTGTTCTTCAGGTGTTGTTCTTGTTGTTCTTCAGGTGTTGTTCTTCTTGTTGTTCTTCAGGTGTTGTTCTTGTTGTTCTTCAGGTGTTGTTCTTGTTGTTGTTCTTCAGGTGTTGTTCTTGTTGTTCTTCAGGTGTTGTTCTTCTTGTTGTTCTTCAGGTGTTGTTCTTCTTGTTGTTCTTCAGGTGTTGTTCTTGTTGTTCTTCAGGTGTTCTTGTTGTTCTTCAGGTGTTGTTCTTCTTGTTGTTCTTCAGGTGTTGTTCTTCTTGTTGTTCTTCAGGTGTTGTTCTTCTTGTTGTTCTTCAGGTGTTGTTCTTCTTGTTGTTCTTCAGGTGTTGTTCTTGTTGTTCTTCAGGTGTTCTTGTTGTTCTTCAGGTGTTGTTCTTGTGTTTCTTCAGGTGTTGTTGTTCTTCTTTAGGTGTTGTTCTTGTTGTTCTTCAGGTGTTGTTCTTGTTGTTCTTCAGGTGTTGTTCTTGTTGTCTTCAGGTTTGTTCTTGTCTTCAGGTGTTGTTCTTGTTGTTCTTCAGGTGTTCTTCTTGTTCTTCAGGTGTTGTTCTTGGTGTTCTTCTGTTTTGTTGTTCTTCTTTGTTGTGTCTTCAGGTGTTGTTCTTGTTGTTCTTCAGGTGTTGTTCTTGTTGTTCTTCAGGTGTTGTTCTTGTTGTTCTTCAGGTGTTGTTCTTGTTGTTCTTCAGGTGTTGTTCTTGTTGTTCTTCAGGTGTTGTTCTTGTTGTTCTTCAGGTGTTGTTCTTGTTGTTCTTCAGGTGTTGTTCTTCTTGTTCTTCAGGTGTTGTTCTTGTTCTTCAGGTGTTGTTCTTGTTCTTCAGGTGTTGTTCTTGTTGTTCTTCAGGTGTTGTTCTTGTTGTTCTTCAGGTGTTCTGTCGTTCGTGTCAGCGTTGTATTTGTGCCATTTGTGTTTTGGAGGAACATCGAACTCACAAAACTGTGTCAGTGCAGACGGAGCGACTCAGCAAACAGGTACTGCACCACCACAGGAGGATTTATATATGTAGTATTTGGTTGTAGTATTTGTTGTAGTAGTATTTGTAGTATTTGCAGTAACAGTAATTTGTTGTGTTACAGAAACAAGTTTCTCGGACGGAGCAGGAGATCGTGACTCGGATCAAACAAAAAGAACTTCGTCTGAACGAAATCAAACGCAACCTGGACTCAGTCAAGGTCCAAGTCCTGGTTTAGTCCTGGTTTAGTCCTGGTTTAGTCCTGGTTTAGTCCTGGTTTAGTCCTGGTTTAGTCCTGGTTTAGTCCTGGTTTAGTCCTGGTTTAGTCCTGGTTTAGTCTTGGTTTAGTTCTGGTTTAGACAAAGAGAGGGATAAAAGATCTCACTCGACTTGCAGAACTGACAGAAATAAAAAAAATAAAAAAAGTGCTTGGGGAAAATAGAACTAATGCTCTGATTGGCTCATTTAAACTCTCTCTCTGCTCTGATTGGCTCCTCAGGCCCACACAGACGGCGAGAGCGCGGAGGTGGACCGTCTCTTGGACTCGGTGGCCCAGGCCGTAGACCGGGTCCGGACTGAGGTCGTGGGGGGGATCCAGACCCAGCTGGACGCCGTGATGTCACAGGGGGCGGAGCTGACGCAGCGGCTGGAGGCGGAGCTTAACGACCTCCACCAGAAACGAACCGAACTGGAGACGGTGGCGACGAGTCAAGACCACATCCGCTTCCTGCAGGTCCGGTCCTGGTTTTGATCTGGTTTAGACCTGGTTTAGTTCTGGTTTAGTTCTGGTCCAGTCCCGGTTGAGTTGGTGTTGAGTTGGTGTTGTGTTTCAGAGCGTGGACTTGGCGACGCCCCCCGCAGACTCGGAGGACGATGACGAGGAGCCGTTTTGTCTCCAGTTCCATTTGGCCGAGGTGAAGTCTGCGCTGCTGCAGGTCCGAGACAAGATGGCCGACGTCCACATGGTCCCGGCCCAGACCCGAGACCACGGCAGGGACTACAGCAGGGACCACGGCAGGGACTATGGCAGGGACCACGGCAGGGACCACGGCAGGGACTCCTATGGCTCCAGTGAGTCAGATGCCCTCCCTGTGTGACGTGTATTAAATATTATAAACCCAGGAGTGTCACTGATGCAGACTGAGACACGTTCACACTGAAACAAATCAGAAACGATCTGCGTCCACACTCGTCACTTCTGCGTCCACACTCGTCACTTCTGCGTCCACACTCGTCACTTCTGCGTCCACACTCGTCACTTCTGCGTCCACACTCGTCACTTCTGCGTCCACACTCGTCACTTCTGCGTCCACACTCGTCACTTCTGCGTCCACACTCGTCATTCTGTGTCTGAGAGTTTCTCTCCAAAACTTTGACACATTTATTTATGTTTCACAGAAATGAAACTTAAAACCACACGACTAATTTATATAAACTGAACGAACCCACTCACATACACACTAGTGTGAACCAACCCACTCACATACACACTAGTGTGAGCAAACCCACTCACATACACACTAGTGTGAACCAACCACTCACATACACACTAGTGTGAACCAACCACTCATATACACACTAGTGTGAACGGGGCCTTCGAGGTGAAATGTCAAGATCTGAAGCTACAGCAGTCAGAAGTAACAGTGTTAACAGAGAGTGTTACCGCGGTGACGGTGAGAGTGTTACCGCGGTGACGGTGAGAGTGTTACCGCGGTGACGGTGAGAGTGTTACCGCGGTGACGGTGAGAGTGTTACCGCGGTGACGGTGAGAGTGTTACCGCGGTGACGGTGAGAGTGTTACCGCGGTGACAGGTGAGAGTGTTACCGCGGTGACACTCTCACTGTCACTGTGGTGCTTCTAAGGACGCCTGATCTAAATAAACTGAACAAAGAGTTAAACTGGAGAATTTACAACATCCAACACCCGAGTGTCAGATTGTGTCAGATTGTGTCAGATGCCCTCCCTCTCTCTGTTTCAGTCCCGATGCCGCTGTCGGATCTCGCGGCGTCCGAGAGTCTGAGAGGAAGCACCGCCAGCCTCCGACGCAGCCACTGGAACCTCAAAGGTCTGAACCAGAACTGAACCAGGACTGAACCAGAACTAAACCAGAACTAAACCAGGACTGAACCAGGACTAAACCAGGACTAGTCCAGGACTAAACCAGAACTAAATCAGGACTGAACCAGAACTAAACCAGGACTGAACCAGGACTAGACCAGAACTACACCAGGACTAGTCCAGGACTAGACCAGAACTACACCAGGACTAAACCAGGACTGAACCAGGACTGAACCAGGACTGAACCAGGACTGAACCAGAACTAAACCAGGACTAAACCAGGACTGAACCAGATCTAACGTCTTGTTTTGTTTCAGATGTGAAGAAGAACAAGGCGATCACTGGTCGGTTTGTTTCTGTTTTTTCTTATTTTCAGTTTGATTTTCACGTTTTCATCACAAATATTTAAAAATGTTTTGTTTTTTTCCACAGGACACAAAAAGGCCAAACTCTACATGGGTGAGTCCTCCTCTCCTCCTCCTCTCCTCTTCCTCTCCTCCTCACTCCATCTCTCTCTCCTCCTCTTCATCTCTCTTCTTCTCTTCTTCCTCAGAGGACGTGGTGTTGAATCCCGTCTCTTCTTCTTCTTCTCTTCTTCCTCAGAGGACGTGGTGTTGAATCCCGTCTCTTCGCGTATCCGTTCCTGATTCTGTCTGAGGATCGGAAGCAGGTGAAACGTGGGGAGAAGCTTCAGTTTTACAGGAACAGCCCCCAGCGCTTCGACGTGTGGAGCTGCGTCACCGCCAAGGAAGGATACGCCGCCGGACGCCACTACTGGGAGGTACGGGACACGACACACGCGGGGGGGGACCTGACACACACACGACTCAACCTCACACACACACGACTCAACCTGACACACACGACTCAACCTGACGCACACACGACTCAACCTACACACACACGACACACCTGACAACACTACGACTCAACCTGACGCACACACGACTCAACCTGACACACACTGGGAGGTACGGGACACGACACACGCGGGGGGGACCTGACACACACACGACTCAACCTGACACACACACGACTCAACCTGACACAACACACGACTCAACCTGAACACACACACAACTGACACAACGACCAACCTGACACACGGGGGGGGACACACACATACGACTCAACCTGACACACACACGACTCAACCTGACGCACACACGACTCAACCTGACACACACACGACTCAACCTGACACACACTGGGAGGTACGGGACCTGACACACGCGGGGGGGACCTGACACACATACACTCAACCTGACACACACTGGGGACACACACACGGGACCTGACACATACGACTCAACCTGACACACACACGACTCAACCTGACACACACACGACTCAACCTGACACACACACACGACTCAACCTGACACACACACGACTCAACTGACACACACTGACGGGACTGACACACGCGGGGGGGGACCACACACACTGACACACACACGGGACTGACACACGCGGGGGGGACCTGACACACACGACTCAACTGACACACACACGACTCAACCTGACACACACTGACACACACTGGGAGGTACGGGACCTGACACACGCGGGGGGGGACCTGACACACATGACGACACACACACGACTCAACCTGACACACACACGACTCAACCTGACACACACAGGACACCTGACACACACTGAGACGGGACACACACGGGGGGGGACCTGACACACACGGCACCTGACACTGACACACACGGGAGGACACACTGACACACTACACACTGACACAACGGAGGCACTGACACACTGACTCACACACGACTCAACACGGGGAGACACACGGGGGGGACCTGACACACACAGACACACACACGAACACACCACGACTCAACCTGACGCACACACGACTCAACCTGACGCACACACGACTCAACCTGACGCACACACGACTCAACCTGACACACACACACTCAACCTGACAACACACACTGACCACACACACTGGAGTACGTACACACGCGGGGGACCTGACACACACGGGACTGACACAACACACAGACTGACACACACACGACTCAACCTGACACACACGACTGACACACACTGGGAGGTACGGGACCTGACACACGCGGGGGGACCTGACACACATACGACTCAACCTGACGCACACACGACTCAACCTGACGCACACACGACTCAACCTGACACACACTGGGAGGTACGGGACCTGACACACGCGGGGGGGGACCTGACACACACATGGGGAGGGACCTGACACACACTGGGAGGTACGGGACACGACACACGTGGGGGGGGACCTGACACACACACGACTCAACCTGACACACACTGAGAGGTACGGGACCTGACACACACGGGAGGGCACCTGACACACACGGGAGGCACCTGACACACACGGGAGGGCATCTGACTCTTTGTCTTCTTCAGGTGTTTGTGGGTGAAAACAAAGACTGGAAAGTGGGCGTGGTCTCGGAGTCGGCGCAGAGGAAGGGGCTGTTCGACATGAGCCCCCCCAACGGGTACTACGCCCTCTGGTGGAGCGGAGGACAACTGCGGGCGCTCACCACCCCTCCCCTCACCAAGGTATGCACCTGTCTGCACCTGTCTGCACCTGCCTGCTCGTGTCGCTTCTGTCTGCTTCTGACACTCCTGTTTGATCCTGTCTGCACCTGTTTGCTCCTGACGCTCCTGTCTGCACCTGACGCTCCTGTCTGCTCCTGACGCTCCTGTCTGCACCTGACGCTCCTGTCTGCATCTGACTCCTGACGCTCCTGTCTGCTCCTGACGCTCTTCTCTGCTCCTGCCGGCAGGTGAGGGCCCCGCCGAGGCTGCGGCAGGTCGGGGTGTTTCTGGACCTGGACCTGGGGCAGGTCTCCTTCTTTAACACCAAAACCGGTTCTGAGATTTACAGTTTCCACCGCGGAACCGAGTTCACAGAGAGAACGTTCCCCCTGCTCGGAACCGGAGACAAAGAGGTGCCGCTGGTGCTCATGACCGCGCAGAACCCCCTGTAGGACCGGGACCGAGACCGAGACCAGGACCAGAGACCAGGACCGAGACCGGGACCGAGACCGGGACCAAGACCAAGACCGGGACCAAGACCAGAGACCACCCAGAACCACCTGTAGGACCGAGACCGAGACCGAGACCAGGACCAGAGACCAGGACCGGGACCAGAGACCACCCAGAACCCCCTGTAGGACCGGGACCGAGACCGGGACCAGGACCGAGACCAGACCAGAGACCACCCAGAACCCCCTGTAAGACCAGGACCAAGACCAAGACCAGGACCAAGACCAAGACCAAGACCAGAGACCGACCAGGACCAGGACCGGGACCAAGACCGGGACCAAGACCAGAGACCACCCAGAACCACCTGTAGGACCAGGACCTAGACCAGGACCGGGACCAAGACCAGGACCAAGACCAGTGACCACCCAGAACCACCTGTAGAACCAGACCAGGACCAAGACCAGGACCAGAGACCACGCAGACCCCCTGTAGGACCGGGACCAAGACCAAGACCAGGACCAAGACAGAGACCACCCAGAACCACCTGTAGAACCGGACTGGGACCAGAACCAGAGACCAGAGACCAGAGACCAGACCAGAGACCTCGCAGACCCACCTGTAGACCGTGTCAGGACCAGGTCTGGACTGGGACCAGGACCATGATCAGGAACAGAACCACCTCTAAATCGGGACTAAGACCAAGACCAGACCCAACTTTAGACTATATAGACCAGATTTAGACCAGGTCCTGGACCAGTGAACCAGGATGGTAAACCAGGACTGAACCAGGACTAAACCAGGACTAAACCAGGACTAAACCGGGACTAAACCGGGACTAAACCAGAACTAAACCGGGACTAAACCGGGACTAAACCGGGACTAAACCAGGACTAAATGAGGACAGACTTTGTGTGTAAATTGTAAATTTTCTCGCTGCTGAAATGTTTTTTTTTTTTTTCATCAAATCCAGTTTTTAAATAAAGTTGAAATAAAAAGCCCTGGTGCATTCTGGGAGATGAAGTCTGAGGCTGATCCTGTGTGAGCCAATCAGAGCGTCCGATCTTTAAGCGTTAAATAAATGAAACTGTAAATGTTAATAAAACTTTTTTTCTGTCTCTGCA